AAAGTAAATGAAGTATAATAAAGAAAAAGAAACAATTTGCACCGATTAATGTGTAACGGAAAGAGATGCAGACAAGCAGACTGTGAGCATATTGCCAGCATCGGACTTTAAAGAAAATTCAATATTCTCAGAAATTTAGGAAAGCAAAGACGTTTGTTTATAGATATATGTAATTCCAAGCAGGCAATTATAAAGCCGACTCTGATTTTTTACGTACCTAAGCAATCTCTAACGATTCCACCCCTTACTACTATTCGGTTATCCCTTTTCACATTGTCTGTAGGTACTACTCATGAAGCATTTCCTAACTTAACAAGAGCGTGGTCAAAACGCAGCAAGTGACTACAGTTTCAAATTGAAACAAGAAAGAAGATACATCCATTCTCACAGATAATTTATTGCGGACTTTGCCAATTTAGATCGTCTGAACTATACAAGCAATTTTTCCGATCGAATTTACGTACTCAATTTACGGTAGATTTGAACCGAGCGAACGAATGTACATTTTGACGTATACTTCGTTTACTTTTTGTAGCGATGTGAGCTTCAGTTTGACCGGCGCAAAGTAGTAAAGTACACCACTAGGCCAGAAAAGGAAGGAGACAACTCTCGACCAAACTCTTAACCGGTGAGGAGCGTATAATCCGTACAGTACTGTACGGAAAAATTGACCATTTTATCCGCTACAATTGCCTTGCTCAAATGTGTTGTTATTGGTACCATTTACTACTGAAAATATCAACGAGATGTTTATTTATATTTGAAAACATATTAAAGGCTTCAACGCTTGTTTTCGACTCGCTCTAATATTCATGATTGAACAAAACTTTTGGCAAGTACTGTATGAAAAAGTATGTTTAATGAACAAGACTCGAAAGTATAATGAGTCTTTTTCTCCCTACCTACGATTTTGCCAACGCGCATCCAAGACATTGGAAGGGGCACATCGCTAGAGAAACTAAATGAAATATATCTAATGAATTCTTCTATCTGTCGTAATGACCGACCGAATTTACCACTACCTTAATTTACTGTTTCATTAAAGAAAATTCAAAATGTTACCGCAGAAAGAACGACATACATATTTACTCATCAAAAGTTTTTGAGAGCCATCTTCGAACAGCTTCGTTCGATCGTAAAAGAATTTTCTTTCCTTTGAATTTAAAATTAACAAACCTCTGCTTTCTAATAGTATCTTTCTTGATTCTCATGAATTTAAATTCGCTTTTTCAACCAATACAGGCACTCATGCATTAAATAAAGCAATAGAGTAGTAATACTGTTGTGTGACTTCTATAGGTTATACTATTTTAGTTCAAACGAAAACATCGAAAATATACATTAACGGAAGGCAATTTATTTTTGAGAAACGTACCAACGTATGTATCATTTTCTTATACTATTACTTCAATAGCATAAAGAAGTCAAAGTTCTCTCTTGTACAAACGTTGTACGTTGCACGCCAAATTAATATTGTGCAACTAATTAAAAGTGGATCGTGATTTCGATGAAGAATAAAAATTCACTGTTTTATTTAAAACATTTAATTGAACTTCTATTCTAATCACTAAAAACTAAGCTTCAACGTCTAAATTATAACTATCAAATTCGTCCAACAAAGAAAAATATTTTTGGGTGGTTACTGGAACAAAACTTACTTGTTTTTTGAGATGAAATCTGAACGTCTGAATCTTAATGTATTATGAACTCTAACTATGAACAGGTAAACTGGTGAATATTATTGTAGCGGGGGCGAATAACTAGAAATTGAATATAATATAATACANCAACCAATACAGGCACTCATGCATTAAATAAAGCAATAGAGTAGTAATACTGTTGTGTGACTTCTATAGGTTATACTATTTTAGTTCAAACGAAAACATCGAAAATATACATTAACGGAAGGCAATTTATTTTTGAGAAACGTACCAACGTATGTATCATTTTCTTATACTATTACTTCAATAGCATAAAGAAGTGAAAGTTCTCTCTTATATTGAATTTTTTAAAATTTGACCAGTAGGTACTACAATAATTTCAAGTAACAGATATATTTACAATAATAAATTGGAAAGTTCACACCAAAATAAATTCCCATTAGGCAGATGCCGAAAATGATTATCCGATACAATATTGTTATCGGACACCGATATATGATAGCCGATATCGATGTCAAACTTTCGATATCGCTCCGACACGTTCATACGGTTGCGGAAAGAAAATATAGATGTGTCCAGTTTTTAGTAATTCAACTACTGTTAGAAGCAAAGCATACAGAAATTAACTCAAATTCAACGCTATTGTTGTGGACCCCTCTGTATTCTTATACGATTTGAAATAGGAGGCTAAAATAAAAGCTGAATTTTCTAAGTATTTTCCATAAAGTTGAAAGAAGAAAAACAAAAAGCAGTGCAAAACTCCAATGGTGTTATCAGATTAGATGAATACCAGAAGTCGTCGTCAACTACTAAACACAGTCAACTACATCAGTGTAATGATAACATTAAACTTATATGGAAATAGGCATAAATATTTATCCCCACTGTTACACAATATTCATAATTTACAAGAAAACGTACCTACTGTGCTGTAATTATAGCTTTGCGAATGTCAAAAAGATGTTTGATCTAGTTTCCTCCAAAACTAATTATAATTGTGGTATAGAGTAAACGTCAAATAAATGTGGATATCGGTATGTATTTGTCATACCTTTGGTGGCTTTCCATATTGCATTACACAATTATCTCTTGGAATAATCATAGTAATGCGCTCTTAAGATACGGCGAGCTCTAAACCGCGACCTGCATCCCTCTAATTAATAATATGCTCAGCTACATAATAGACTACCAACTAAAGGGTTCAACCCTATATCTCAATTACTGACTAGTTCGGAGTCATGCAAATGCAGGTACAATAATGCATATAAGCACATATGCTCATCTAGAGATTAATTTCGAAATAGGTGAATTACCTAGACTAAATTATAATATTTATTTTAACAGATCTCTTGCTCTGTATAATTTGTTTCTTTGTTATATAAATTGCTTGTACGTTGGATTTTCTTGTAGCTCTCGCCGAGGGGTTAAAAGTGAAATTTAGAATGAAACGGAAGCTGCCTACGCACAGCGAACGAAAATCCATTATTAGGATGAGTCGGCAGCGTCGCGTCGAGAAAATAAAGCACTGAATCTTCAAAATTTTGTGCAGTAAGCCCGATCGATTCTGCACATACTGCACATTTGTGTTCAGCGATTCTCACAACCTCCGAGTAACAAAATTGGACTGATTTCTATCATTACCGACCGAGTTTTTTTATAACAATTTGGCAATGCATATTTGAAGATAAATAATAAAATAAATCTCTTATGTTCACAAAGTTTGTATAGACGGTCTCAGGAATCAAATGCAGAAAACCGCATCTCGATTCGATTTCATCATAATAAGGTTATCAATCTTAAGACTGGTTAGACACGCATTTCCACTCTTTCCTATTCTGAGCTAATCTCCACATTTCCCTAAAACTAGAACATCCCACATCCTTAACTATTTGCGAGTAGTAATCTAATCTAGGTCTGCCTCTGTCTCTCCTAACTCTTGTTTCTGCCTCTAACATGTCTCTGAATAGACCTTCATACCTGAGAAGGTGTCCTAATAGCTCTTCATTTCTAACCTTTTCTATCCACGGCATCCTCAACATTCGCCGATAACACCAGTAATCCGACTTACTGCAAACAAAATCGACTGTTTGGACAATTTTTGTCCTTTATTTTCTCTACTATGACTATGACAGTAAAAAAATACAACAGGTTCACGAGTTCAGAGATAGAGGCTGTGGACTCGACGGTAGACACAGTTTTCTAATTGAGACGAGTTCGCATCCTGAGAGTTGAGACAGCGCTGCTTTAAATACGTAATCAAAAATAATCATATACATATGTATATACGGATTAAATAGGTATACCTATATGTAAATAAAACCATAAGTATACAAACCAACATTTTTTTACTTTGTTGGACTTTATGGTTTTCGAAATAAAGTCATTTTATCTTGACCAATAACACAAAGTTGCAGAAATGTGTTGAACCATAAAATACAGTTTCTTCGATTTAATAATGACTAATATGTTCACAAGTCATTGGTTTCGGTTTGTAGTGGTTTTAAAATAACAGACGAAGGATTAAAGAAACCGTTAGAAGTCGTACAAGAAATTAAATTCCTGGTGACGTTTCAATAACTTTAACCATTAGCCTGCGCAAATAGTAAATGCGTTAGACGACATCCTCTAAAGTTTCCGTTTACTTACAAAATCATTTGTTTTGGTCCCATAAAACTTTTCTGCGGTTTACGTTGCTCGTTTAGTCTCGTTGTCTCGATATTTTCACATTTATTTTTAAGGTGAACGTGATTGTGGCCCTTGTACAGATTTATGGTTATGCTTTTAGCAATAAAAATGTCATTCCCTTAAGACCGAAGTATGCGCGGTCTACATCTACGAACATCTACAAACTGCATCTAGGATTAACCAGAAACAGTAAATGGAGTGTAACTGTGCGAGTTGTAACTTTTCATGTAACTTCGAAATGGTCGATTTTAATAACAAAAGCGCTCAAAATGCAACAAATGATGCTGTTCTTATTTCCGACAGTCGACGTAAAAATTGACTACAACTAAACTACAACATTTCCATTATCCAAGGAGTATTTAATTTGGTACATGGACCACACAAGAATATATTTATCTAAAGAAAGTATATTTATAAATACTGATTTGTATTATACTTAATCGTATTTCGTGACTAGAAGCATATAATACCCACTTGTTGTAGATAATTTGAAGAGAATGCATTTTTAAGATTAGTTGTTCAAAATAACAATTTCAAAATTGCAAAAGGACTTTCTTGTCATACAGTGTGGTACATTATTAGTAAACAATTAACATAATACAATAGGTGTGTTTTTAATACTACCCAGTTTTCAATAGTTAAACACTTACCCTGCTAAATCCTTGCTTCGATTAATCCATGGATCTAGTAAGAAGGATCATGGATGCACACAAGAAAAGCCTGAGGATGACCCTGAAAGAAGACGTAGAAAGATGTTAGATATGATATCACCCCGATATAAAGAAAATTTCCTGACTGAGGGAGTGTAAGATTTTAGGTTAAACCAATGCCTAAAATACATAAAATCTGAAGGTTTCACTGCAGTACACATTGAGCTGCTAAAAATGTGCATATATTGAAATGAAGTTTCTTTGTTGAATCCTGTTAAATTAAAAGGTTTAATAACAATGCCCATCGTCTAACCTTTTGTAGAATGCGATAGCAACCGAAAGCATTCCAAGGAAAACGTGTGGGACGATATTTGTTGACGCAATTTCCTTGATTTCGTGCAGAACCATGCTGCAAGTTTTTTAGGCGTGACATGAATTTATTATTGATGAAAACGGAAAATAAACCTCGCGTAGGCTGGTGTATACAGACTTTTTTATCAAGTTTTTACCGCGCCCTATGTTTATGTTTCTAGTCGTCCCTTCTGTCTAAACAAAGCTCTCTTACGTAAACCATAGGATTAGCAAGATTCGTCCTGTCGTGAGAGAAACTTGGACATGTCACGTTCTTCTACCTCTGTAGACGAAACTTGGTCGAATTAGAAGTAACGTATCAAGTATATTACGCTCAGAAGATTACATGATGCGAAACCAGATTTAAAGATACAGATAAAAAAGTAAAATATGGGCTGAGGAAGTAGGGTTGTAGAATTATTATGGAGATGTCGTGGAAAACAAGTGTGAAAATCTGAATTACGTAATCCTGTCTTACTTTAACTTCTTATCAACCCGTTCTGCAGATTTTATTACTCATTCAATTGCAATTTCCTTAAATATGCATGTCATGCCGCATCCTCCAATACTCAATCCTACAGGATACATTCAAATAAGTGGAATATAGTGTCATATTATTTTTTATAAATGTAATTAATTTTCTTTAATCAAGAACTTTGCCGGATTTTCATATAATTCTACTCTGTAGGTAATGTTAAAAATGTATTCAAGAAATTTATGTTTTCTTATCACAACATTTCCGCATCTTATTTACGAAAAGTACCATTGAATTCTATCTGAAGAAACCACCACGTTATAAATATATATATAAAGTGTTTTCAAATCAAATCGGAAATGATATCAATGAATTTACTCAAAAGATGCTTCATGAAATACAATATAAATGAATTCCAATTTTATATTTGTGCAACAAAATCTCCTTGTTCTTCTGTTTGGTTAAACTTTATTGCATTTTACCAGATTTTGTTTTTGTTGTGTAAAGATGAGAATACCCAGAGGAATGCAAACAGTTTCTGGCATTGTAAATGGGGTAAACTCCTTGCATTTCCTTAATTCTGCAGATAAAGTATGAAACTCAGCTATATGAACTTCATCATTTTTGTTGCTATATCTATATACAATTTCGATTGTATTTAACATAGTCGGGGTTAATGGGATGCACCGTACGAATTTCCTCTAATGATAATAATTTGAAACTGCATAGAAAGCAAAGTCACGAAGCGGTATAGTCGCAAGTACGTCATCATTGCAATGCAGTTACGTCAAGGCGTTGGAGTGGTGGCGCTCGGCGAAATCGCAAGTATGTCACCGGCCTATTATGGTATCGTGTCTTGGAACTGCGTATGACTTCATGATTTACAAAACAAGATTCTAAAGGAAAGCATTGACGGAAAAATTGTATCGATACGAAAACCTTTAAAAAGGTTAAACGTTGTTGAATTTGTAAAGATTTAGTTGTTTTTTTTTGCATGTGTTTGTTTGATACGAGCGGTGCCTAGCTCAAAGGCAAGTGCCGCGCTGGGGGCTGTGATGTCTTGCCCAATAGCATTTGTGTGTTTGATTTGTTTAGTCTACCTATAGTGGTGGAAATAAGAATAAGTAAAATTTGGTATTTTTAGTTTAGTCAGTAATAGGTAGTAGTAAGCGCAACATGTAATGAAGTAGTCTTGTTTTCCGCATTTTAAAATATAAAAGTTAATTCTCGTTTTGATATCTTCGTTGTTTATTTTCAACAAAATAATTTCCCTTGGATTCAGTTCCGCGACAAAACAAACGTTTTGCGGGTTTCTCGAAAAATATTTATTTATTTGTTATTTTATATTGGGAAAATGGTTGTGTGGATCCCGAACACTGCACGTTGTTGCTATTATTATTAAATATGTAGTATTTTCTCTTAGTTTTACTATATAAATGTAATTTTAACAAAAATTCTTCGTACAGAATTATTATTTGCAGATTGTTGCCTTGTTCTCTTTACGCCGTACCTCGTAAATAAGGAACCCGTACGTGGTAATGTGGAAGGAGAGATCGCCGTCGGCGTCGTGTCTACGACGCCAGAGGGTGACTCTACTTCTATATCAAATTAGAAGCTGATCAAACAATCTCACTCGAAACGGTAATGCATCACCGCATCAACCAGTTCCTTTAATACAGCCATTGTGCGAAGATATGGTTGTTTGCCAGCCTCGAACATCATGTTGAGACGGCGAGATGTAGGTTCCCCTTTATGCTATTTGATCGCTTTTGTGCATTATCAATGCCATTACCATGTAAGATGTAAATAGATTTTGCAGCTTTCTAAAGGCAGACTCAGTCTTACGATCGGGATTTGCAAAATCGATCCGCTTGTTATACGCTTGTACAAATACCATGTCACATACACATTCATACGTACACTAAGCCTATTATTAGATAGTTATCTCCATAATAAACTTTGATTGCAAAAGATAAATTAAAATAAAATAAGTATTTTTTATTTTGCAAAATAACGAAATTGAACTAAAACCTAAGGTCAAATTTCATGATTCTGGGTCAACGGGAAGTATCCTATGGGTTTTGGTTCCCTTCCGAATATCGAAATATGCGAAACAAACGACTGTATCTTTTAATTGTGTCAACGACACAACACTTTGGTTTTTTCACAGCTGCAAGGGATTGTACATCTGAGTATTTGTTATTAATTTCAACTTCATACCTGAACGTGTTCCTGAAAAGAAACAGACAAATAAACAAACAGTCAGACAGACAAACGGACTTATAAGGGTTCTTTTTTTCCTTTTGAGGTACAGAACCCTAAAAGTATTCGATTTCTTTGAGTTTTTAATCATACCAGAAGCGCATTTTCGACATCTAAAGGATTTTGATTCAGGATACTCCATTTCCTTGGCGCAGTTTTTTCACATTGGTGATATTGTAAAATGTCAAATTTTGAGTTCATTTCACCGACTTACATTAGTCTCACTATTTTTCAGTCTCTAAATAGTTCCCACTATTTCTTTAAACGTTAAACGTACGTCAAGTTTCTATACTCACACACTGATAAAACACAATTAACACACAAAGTTCATTTGTATCGAATATCGAGCCCGGTCACTGAATCATATCCGGCTCGAAGGACCATCGGCAACCTATGGACATACAGTTCCCACTCCACAGCTCTGCCTATCCTTAGTTTAAATTTGTAGCACTAATCCCTAGTTTGCTACTAACTAGTTACGATACATATATTCGAAATCAGCGTTACATCCCAGATCACTAAGCTCAAATGAATTTCTATTCTTTAAGTTCAACTAACGTCGCTATAACTAAAAAGTCGTTATAAGTGAAGGGACGCCTCTACTTCAGTTAGGTCTGCTACTACCAGAGTAGTGCGGCCAGTGCCAGTATAGAGTCGATACTTTCAAAATATTAGTAATCGACACTCAATCTGAGGCATACTACCGAGTGACACAGTCAAATACTTCCTTGCACCTTCATATAGAACCGTTTACTTTTCTTTAAGTTCTTTAATGACACAATTCGTTCTTGGTATTTTATGTGAAAGTAGAAAAATTAACAGAAAAATTAAAAAGCGAAATGTATACACACATCCAGGCCTCTGTTCATGGGCACTTTTTCGTCAGGATTGTCCTGTAAAGTCGCGAACGATGTAAAAGCGAGACGGATATTTGTAATATTCTTATCATTGATACATTAGCAAATGCCAATCGCATTTTATATAATGCCGTTCTAGCTTAAAAGCAGTATATCTGTATAAGTCGACTATTCCGAGTCCTTTGTTTTCAAATCCGGATTAAGAAATGAAAATGTAACGGAAAGGTCGTATCGGGAAAGCACTCGCCGTTCGGCAAGAATTTCATACAACTGTCATTTATTACGGAAAGTCCATTTTCTTTACGAACTTGACGTGGTACTTTCGAGTTCAGATAACGGCGCAACACAGTACACAGTAATTTTAAAAGAAAAAATGTCGAAAATGAAATCAGAACTACAGTATAGTTAGTGGATAAGGAGGGCCTTAATTTGAGACAAAACAGTTAAGTATGGAAAGTAATTATGTATCAGTATAAATATTGCATAGTATATACAGCAAGGAGGAGTTAGAAATAGCTTTAAATAAGATTGAGGCGGTACTGACAAAACAGTATGTATGAATATAAATAAAAGTAAAACAAAAATACTGGTATATAAGGGAATGCGGAAGAAAAACTAGGGAAAGAGGAATATAAGATAGGTGACGAAAAATTAGAAGGAGTGGCTGATTTTAGGTATCTAGGAAGTCAGATAAGTCAGGACGGAAGGAGTAGTAGAAATATAAAGCAGAGGATAGCGTAGGGTTGAGTCGCTTTCAATAAAAAGAAGTCACTTGGAGTGCGGCACTGTACGGGTGCGAAACATGGACAATGGGCGCGGCGGAAAAGAAAAAGTTAGAAGCCTTCGAAATGTGATTTACAGGCGAATGATGTACCGTATGTAGAGAAGGTCAGAAACGAAGAGTTATCAGAAACGATAGGAGAACAGAGCACTCTATGGAAGTCAATAAGAAATAGTAGATGAGATATGTTGATAAAACACCTTCTCAGGCATGAAGGTCTAGTCAGAGACATATTAAAGGCAAAAACGGGAGTTAGTAGGGGTAGGGGTAGACCTAGATTAAATTACTGTTCGCAAATAGTTAAGGATATTGGTTGTTCTGGTTTTGGGGAAATACGAAGATTAGCTCAACCAATC